TTATGGTCGGCATGCTTTAGGCTACAGAAAGCTTTTCTGTAGCTTTGATGTCTTGTCGACTGGTACCAGTTGTTACTTGATGATTGCGTCCTCTTCGAGCGATGGCGAGTTTATTCTTGCCTCATCGAGTTGGAAGGGTGGTTGGCTCACTTCTGACGAGTGTGTATGAAAAGCAATGCGTTTGATGGATGGATCAATTATGCGGTCATTGTGCCATTCTTGACTATCCCTTTTTTTGGTTGTGCTTTGTATGGTAGAGCAACAAAGAACGACACATTCTACTATTTTACGCTTACCAACGGTTACAACTTATCTGTTTTGGTAAAATCGTTGTCAGCTGGTCTTCTCTCACGTTCGTTCAATTCTTCGAGCTAGAAGCTTACGTCCTTTTCAGCACTTGAATCGATGCTTCCAACAGCAGGATATTCTACTACATCACCCTGTACGTAGAAAGAAAGTCAAATTAAAACGCGATAACAACTAAATCCATTCCTAGAAAAGGTGGAATCTTCTTGTCAGTCGAGTTTCTAACAATCCGCCAAAGTTTCAAAACACTCTCGCTTCCTCAGGCATAATGTCCTTAATTTCCAACATTTCACGACTGAAATAGTGGAATGAAAATCTCAAATCCGGAGTTGGATTCACTGGAAGGAAAGTAACCGAGTGTCTAACAAGAGCCGAGGGTGCTCCTCTAGCACCTGGGATTTCTCTCCTCTTGCCAAACTACACAGATGGAAACGATTAACGTTTCGAGGCATGCCTTGGCAATAGACAGCGTTCTACTACTCACTAAAGACGTGTGGATATGCCTTTCTCATCAGAGATCTTTTTTGGAGGACTCCATCAGTGGTCAAAGTTCGAGTTTCCACATGAAGAATTCGAAAGAGTAAAGAGTATTTGCTTCGTCTGGAACCGTGAGTGATTTGATACGAGTTTGAAACTAGACTCAAGATTTGACTCTTTTGGTATTAGGGTGACTGATGGTGCGTCTGGTTGGCATAAACCTGAGTGCGATTCTGTTGAACTGGATTGTACTTCTGTCACCTGTTTCAATCAACTCAACCCAATATACACCACCAGGCATACTACACTGCATCTAGATCTTGGACGTATTGGATTCTTGTTGGTGAAGACGACTCTGGGTCGACCGCAGATCAAAATGTGAAGGCCGGGAGGAAGAGGAGGTAGGTGTTGAAGGTAGTGATGACGGTAAAATACAGATGTCGTGGTTGAGCATGGCCAAGATGATGTAGAAGGCGTTGGTCAATGTGATATGTTGGAGATGTTGGATATATAGCTTTTTTGTGTCATAAAGCTCTACTCAAAGAAGTGATTCCATGAACTTACCTGCACATATTGGTTTCGCCAATGCTCTACTCATCGCTCGCATCAACAGACACTGTTTGTCTGGTTCAATGTTCTATCCATTTCTTACAGATTAAAAGGTTCTAATATACAAATGCTCTCTTTTTTCTTATTAAGCGTTTATATCCTTTGTGTGTGTTGTGTGTTTTCTTGTGTGTGTTGTATGAAATCGTCCAAAGTGTAAAAAAAAAAGAGTAGCTGAAAATTACAAGTTTGTTCAATAAAAGCCCCCCAAAAGTTCAATATGTATAGATCCATTTTGGCCTAATAGGTTGTCGTGTGTTAACAAGCTACTTTGTTTTCTGAATCTATAGTTGAAGCTTGTTGTGATGCTAGTATCTTTTTTGTTGTTGATGATTTGGATGGTTTCTGATAGATCAGGGAGATAAGTAATGTGAGCAAAAGAAGCCGCCTTGAAATCTTCTTTGATTAGCAACGTACAGTTGATTGTGATGTATTTGTTGACTTTTGGCCAAGAGCAGCACCCACAGATCGTTTCTGTAATGAATAATATATTATTGTTAGAATGGATGAGGTTGTGTCAGGTAATGAAGCACAGTTAAGTTTGTGTATGCTAATAATTGTAATGAGCGCAATACAATTTTGACTTGACTGAAGCAGCCATCAAAATAAATCAAACGAAATAAAGAATCAACGGAGCAATTGTTTACATCGTCCTCAAACCAAAAAAAGGAAATGTTCTAAACAAGTCATGCCTTCACAAACTCACCATACTATTCTGTTGGGCCTCTCTAGTATCTTTACCACTCTGCTTGATTTCCACAGCTCTACTGCCACCAGTAGCATTGTTGACACCCTTTTTAGCAGCAACGACATTCTTCTTGAGCGCTTCTCCCGCCCCAACATCCATTGTAATAGCCGTAGTAGTAGATACCTTTTCCATAACATGAGGAGCCGGTAGAAGCATCACGGAATCATCTTTGGCTTCTAGCACATCATCATCGAATTTGATGCTGCCTCGTCGTTTGGATCTCTTAACCACCAGGAAAAAAACCATGTTAGTGAAGTGAAACGCGATGTTCTATTTCAACATGAATCAAACACAGCCAGACAATACAACATACCGAGCGATCATTCCTCACCCCAGCAGCAACACTCCTGCCCCCACTACTCCTAGTTCTCAACCTGGCACCTCCAAACCCACCAAACCCTTGTGGCGAGTAGGCAGCAGTAACCTCACACAACTCGTAATCATATTCATTATATCGTGGCTCTCTTGCTACTACCACATCATCACATACTTGTTCGCCATCACGCTCCTTGCGTTTGTTTGGCGACGATGATGTTGGTGACCTTACAACATCAGGTGTGATTGTCTTTTCCTTTACAGCAGGAGGAGTACCATGGAATACAAGATTGATGGGATCCCAGTTCTCTTTATTGTCATGCGTGTATGCTGTTGTTGATGTTGTAGTCCCTCCAGTACCAGAAGACGATGTTGATGATGTACTAGATCCAAGTGCGGATTCGGTAGATGCTAATGATGGCTTGGTTGATACAACGAGTTTCTTGATGGCAAGCACTTTATTTGTTCTTGTTTTGTTGCTCATTGCTTTGGTTGTCGTGTTCTCGTCCTGGTGTACTATTAGTTTGTTTTTGATCATGGTGCTTGATTGGAGAAAGGACGATGATGATGACTGCTTGGGCTTCTTTTTGGATGATGCGAGAGCGTGGAGTTCTTCTACTGTGGGCATCGTGCTTGATATATGTTTCTTGTGGTTTGTTGTGTTTGATCAAGTTTGTTTTGTTTTTGGGAAATTCAAACTCAGGACAACCCATTCATTCTCAGTTCCGCGACAACAAAGGCGGAATGCGAATACGCTGCACAGTCATGTACATGTGCTTGCTCATGCATACTGCATACCAACAGTCCATGCACTTGTAAGGTACAGACGCGTTCATATCTCCAAAAACGTGATTTTAGTATAATCAAATCAAAACACAACTCGCGAAACCGGTGTACTATCACCATATGAGTTGATGATTCATTTTCAACATATAATTATAAAACAAGGAAAAAAATTAAACAAGATGAGGATCTTCCTTTTCTAAAATGTGTGTTGCTTTACTTTTGTTGAATAAGGTCGCCCAATTTGACGCTCTTCTTCAATGTAGGCTTTGAAGGATGCTCGAAATCAAAGAATTGGGATTCTACTTTCACCCCATTCTTGGCGTTTTCAGCTGCTTTTGCCCTCTATTATAGAACGGAAGGTGTTAGCCGAAACTACTAGTGAAATCAACAAATCATTCCAAACAACTCATGGAACACCATGAGATCACATATGCAACACGAACCTGTTCATCCTCAACCTTCCTCTTCTCCAAATTAGCCTTATTGTAGTCCTTCCTCAGCAACGCCTCCGTAACATGCTTCCACACACGTCGTGATTCATTCTCATGCTGCAGGTGCTCGTCACGTACAGACTTGTCTGGTATAACGGATTCTGCTACGTCAATCAACAAATGATCCGTCTCCTAACATGTGAGAAACGAAGGTCAGATTCAACAAAATACTGGACCAAAAAAAACCTCTCCGGAAGAACCAGGATGCTAAACAACTTACATCACCGACCAAACGATACCACACCCTCCCATTCCACGCTCCATACACAACCGCAACCACATCACCATCATCGACTTTAGCCAATTTATCATTCTTGGCACGTTCAGCGGGTGTCAGTAACGCATCCTTCTTGGAATCGTAGCGGTATACTTTGCCTTCGATGGCGAATTTGGGTTTGCCAAAGAAGGATTCTTCCTTGTACTCGATGATGCATTTGAGGTTTGTTTTCGGGCATGTTATTATACACTTGTCGGCACATGCGATGTAGATTGACCCAGTCTATAGTGAGGAATATAGGGTGCCTTTATTAATCAAGTTAAAAAGGAAGCCAAGTTGAGTGTGGCTACGTACCATGAATCCGGCTACAGCAGCTTGTGGATGTGTCAGATTGTATTCTACAGTATGAGAAGGCAAAGTTAGAAAAACGACTGACATTCACAAAAAAATGCTACTTCAATCAAGTGCAATACACAAACATACCTTCATCACGCTGCTTCAAATTCACAAATATGCCCCCATTGAATTCACCAGGTCCAATACGGAACGAAGTTCCAGTGAACTTCTACAAAAATCACAAAGACCAGCTGTCAGCCCAATTATTGCACCCGCGCATCCATCAAACAACACAAACATACCCCAGCCAAATGATCAACCCCACGCGCAACAACCCCCTTCTCCACACACTCAAAATAGTACGCAGACATGGGCGGATGATGTGATATCTGTTCAGCGATATAATGAACCTTGACTTCCTCCTTTTCATCATTGATCGTTACGATATCGGCCGTTTCATCTGACGTGGCGGAGGAAGATGATTCGGAGGTGAGGGATGGCGAACGTGTGTGTGGAGATACGGGTGATGCGGATGTGGTGTTCCAGTGACACGTGAAGAATTCAGAGAGGATTGGGTTGTATGGTTTTCGGATTGCGTGGTTCTGTCGAAGAGGTGTGTGAGTGATGACCTGGCAGTTGAGTCATAGCGAAAGAGGTTGCATACCTTCCATTTTGAGTCTTTGGAGAACCAGAAGCGTATGATGCCCAAAAATCTGAAGACCTCATCGTCTATAATTTATAAACGGTTTGATTAGTTTGTTTGTTACGACATTTTCAAGCGAAACACACATACCTGAATCGGACAAACACGCAAACAAATCTGGCCGATCCATATACTAAGCATCAAAAGTCAGTTCAATTATCCAAACCATTTCCACTGGTACTGCCCAACAAAAAAAACCCCCCGAAATGGTAGGAAACGAACATTGCAACGCCTTCCTTCAAACACAAGCAACCACATTCAATCAACACTCAAGGAATCCATCACTGGACTACAGAGCACTACAAACATACCTGCCAAAATTCCAACGCAGACACAGGATCAATCAAATGACTCGGCAGACTCAGTCTAATATCAAACACATTCGCAACCCCAATTGTCGATTTAAGCAGTTTGAAGATGGAGGATATTGGATCTGTTGTCTAATATAAAACCAATATAGGTGGTTAGATTTTGTGGTGGTGTTCTTGGTTCGATACAGATTAAAACAAATGCTTCATTTGGAAGAAACAACACAGGGATGCGCCAATGTGCATCAGTAATAAAGCCTCTGCAAATACAGAAGAACGATCAAACGAAACCTCGTCCTTATCCATTTGCCAAAGCTCAACCCAACCAAAAAGCTTGCGAAAAAGATATGAACATGCCTGTTGTACGGGCGCATCCAGATCGGCACCCTTTTCCGGGTTGGCGTATACAGTATTCTTGAGCGTTAATGTAGATGTTGTCTTTTTCCTATCCATTGTTCGTTCAGCTCTTGTTGTATCTGTTTCAAAACTTGTCTAAAATAAATGATTGTCGAATGGCTTTGATTCAAGCACATGTAGGGAGTTACTCCATTTGATGAAAAAAAATATATGGCAGATCGGTGATGAGCAGAGGAGAGAGAACGGATTGAGATTAGTAGAATCACGTTGGAACGCGTTGTTTTGATGAATTATATATCTGTATATGAGAGGAAAAACACGATAAACAACAAGGAATATATGACGTGTTCTTGAGAGCAATCATCACGTCTTGATCTCCTTCCTCCTGATAGGAAACTTCTTGACATGTTTCCTTTGCGCCTTACTATTAATATTAAGAAAGCGGTTAGCTTCAACCACCACCACAATAACAAACAACCACAAACCTCGGCCTCTTCAATTGCAACATCCATTCCGGAACATCACATCCAGATTCTAAAGCCAAAAAATCAATACCATCCACAAAGAAAGAACCATACCAGGCAGGCACTCAAGTGTAACTCACCACGCACAACATTAACAATACTCTTCAAATACACCACATCGTCTTTCGTGAAATACGTCACCGCTGTTCCCGGTCTCCCAGCACGACCAGTACGTCCAATACGATGTATATACGATTGTACAGTCTGGGGAAAGTCATAGTTGATGACCAAGTTGACACCCATGAAATCTATTCCTCGAGCCATTAGTTCGGTGGTGATGAGGACCCATATGCGGCCTTGTCTAAAGTTTTCGACTATTGTATCTCGCTAATAAAGAAGAACCGTAGATCAACATACAGTAGTGGGGGTTTGCTCTTTCGGTTGGATTCAAGGTTCCAACACACCAAGAAAAAAACCCTGATTCAACATCGAGAATCTCTTACCTGAGCTTTCGTCCTCTCAGCGTGTATAAGATCAACATGAATCCCATCATACACCAACTCATGAAACAACTCCCTCGCTCGATCAATAGACTGCACGAATATCAATACAGGCGGTTTGATACCTTGTTGAATCAATTGCCTAATCGCAATCATTTTGCCTTCTTCTGATCCAACATATAGTAGCGATTGCTTGATTGTGTCTGTGGCTGCATTCCTATCACACGAGTTGTGTAAGTACAGCAAAAAAGGACCTCAAACTATGTAATTCGTCGAACTCACGAAGACCCAATGACAATCCTCACAGGATCAACCATAAACGTATTAGCCAAGGTCTCAACGCCTGACGGGATGGTGGCACTGAAGAGGGATTTGCATAGGTTGGGTGCTGTACATGCGGCTAGGATTTCGTCTACTTGGTCTATGAAGCCCATGTCGAGGAGCTTGTCTGCTTCGTCGAGGATTAAGTGTCGGACCCTATAGGAATATGTAAGTGTAAGCGAGGGTTGTATATGTGAATATGTGCTGACCCATTACGACGGGCGTTTTTTTTCGTAGACTGTCCTTGAAATCACACAAACACCTCAACAACTTACAAATGAAGACTAACTTGCTGCTCCTTAATGGCATTCACAAGTCGAAGCGGTGTACTGATGAGAATATCTATCAATGCGAAAAAAAACGCCAACTCTCAGTATAGGAATTGCATACTTCCAGCTTTCAAACACTTCACATACCACAAGCCTGCAAATGAACCTTCCCCATATTCAAATTCTGCGCCAAGACACATATCTTGAATGGCTTGCCTTGACTCATTCGTTCTACTTGTCGATGTATCTAACCAACAAAAAAATATCAGTAACAACCCTCGAATTGTGTGTTCCAGCAAATACATTCACACACCTGCTTAGCCAACTCCCTCGTCGGACTAACGATAACAGCTCTTACTCCCTTATCAGCAGCAGGACCCTTCAGCGTCTGCAAAATCGGCAGCACAAACGCAAGCGTCTTTCCACTTCCCGTTGGCGCACACGCCATGACTTGACGTCCTTCCAGCATGAGTGGGATTGCTTGCATTTGGATTGGCGTTGGGGTCGTGTATTCTGATTGTGTCAGGTTGCGTTGTATGAATTTGCGGAGCTTGTATCTGTTGGTGAAGGGTGTTGGCAAAAGAGGCCGAAAAGAAATGGTAAGTGTGTGTAAGTACCTGGCAGTCAAATCCTCAAATTTTGTAATTGGAGTTGGGATATCGTTACCGAATACTCTGATCCGGTGGTCTTTGCGAATGTCTTTGGCCTGTTACAAAAAAAAAGGGATCAAAGATCAAAGCATCTTCATCCAATAGACGAACTTGACTTCTCTCACACGCTGCTAACTTACACTCTTCTCAACAGCAACAACCTCCTCTCCATCCTCATCACCACCATCATCCTTGTCTTGATCAATGACTCGTCTCCTCTTGTCTACATGCTGTATACTATCATCCGTACTAGCACTAGTCTTCTTTGACGATGAAAAGAAATCGATTTCAGGAGTCGAGGCGTCTATAAACTGTTCTTGTGCTGTCTAATTTAGCACAAAAGAAGAGCGTCAAAAATTGTGAAGGATCGAGCTTAACAAGATCAAAGGAAGCTTACGGTAGATACATTACTCGGCTGTTTACGCTTTAATCGCGCTCCAGACGTTAGGAGTCTGAATAGGTCTTGCATCGCTCGAATTGCAGCTACAGAGTTTTGCAAAAAAAAAACCTTGCACACAGGTGAAGACGAAGGACAACCGTTTTACACAACACGAACGCGCAACTGGGCAGTGTATAAGTCATTTCAAAAAGGAATTTTAAAAACTAAACTACATTTAACTACATAAAAAAGACGTCAGACGAGATTTAACAAGTACAATGTTTTGTCAGCGATGGGAGTGCTGAGCGTGATCTATCTATAAAATAGAGCTCTCTTATGATTGCTGTTGAGCGTCATATCCTGGCGGAGGAGTGAAGAGTCCTTCGGCCTTCCAACCGTGGACCTAAAGCGAAGAAGTTTGTGAGCTTCCATACTTTCGGTGAATATGTGGCTTTTTTTGTTGCTTCATACCAGTACAGTCGTTACGAAGTCCAGTGGGACTGGTCTAGCAAACCGGCGCTGTGAAAGGAAACGAGAGATTTAGCAAAAAAAAAAACATCGATAACTACGTTCTCTGCAGACAACACAATGTTACCTGATTATGAACAATACTCGAAAAGATAGTCTCATAATGTGCCTCCTCTACAGCCTCTAAAGCGGGATGCGATCTAAAAGACTCGAAACTATTCTCATTGTATTCTTGATGATTCCGTCTCCAATGGTTGCGTTGTTGCTCCCAGTGTGATAATCCCATTTGTGGAGCACCGTCATTTATAGCTGGTTGTGTAGTATGAGGGTCGTGCATATGGTGGTCATTATGAGAGAGAGTCGGTGGTGGAGAGGCAGGCGGAGATACACTATTTGCAGTGGTAGTGTTGTTGTTGTTTGGTAGGGATATAACGGATGTGGTATCACTGTTTCGTAGTTCGGTCGAGTCTACGGTTGAGGTTGATGATGCTGTTGGTGAGATTGAGCCGAGGTTTGCTCGTGTGTGGTGTTGACTGTGTTCATTGTTGATGAATGTGGTTATTCCTGGAGGAGTGTTGTTCATGTAACCGATCGAGTAGCTAGGTAGTGAATTCATACGAGTGGCTACTTTCATATTTGGGAAATGCTGGTTATTGGACTTGATTGCTGTGGTGTGTGAGTGTGCATCTTCATATCAAGTTGTTTTTCAGCACTAGCACCTTCTAGTTTGAGAGAGAGTCATGAGTCCAACATGTGAAATATGCAAACTTTATTTACATTTCGATCTAGTGGGGACTTACCTTTATGCAAGCTTCCAATCCCCTATAGGTGCGATATATGCCTGGTATGCAAGAAATGGAAGCTGGAAACGACGACTCGGGTTGACGGCTAAAAGCCCAGATACTCGATGCATCACGTCAGCTTCACGTGCATATACATCCAACTTGTGGTATTAAACATTAAATGATGATAGTGGTGCTAGGAGGCCTTTTATCCTATTACATCTTGTTACTTGAGCTCGTCTCTCCTATTGGGTTGCTCATTTCACGAAAATCACATCCGTTCACAGACTTCCACTGTGCTTGTTTAAGACACTAATACGTGTATTTAAAGTCATTAGAGTGGTAGACGCGTTCATCCTATTAGTGATCCTTTTCGCTGTCGCTGTTGTCATAACTTGACATTCAAAACTCACAACCCCCAAAAACGATTACTTTGACCTTGATTTCCGTGTAGACATCATCTACAATGTTGGACTTATTCACAGTGCTTACAACAGGTGGCATAGTCCTATGGTCAAAAGCCTGGGCGGGAGACACAAAGTCAAATCCAATAAACAGTCTAATCCAACATGCACTCCTAGACCAAAAGGTCGCGGGTAACTCGTATCTATACAATGCGTATAATATGAAATGGAGTATTGCTAATGAACTGGGCGTCATCTTTGTGGTATGTGTGCTTGGTAGTGATGAAGTTGTGATTTGGTGGTGGGTAGTGTCGTCGTGAACTAGGACACTTACACTTACTCGACATCCAGGTCGCATATCAGAAAATCCTACATCTAACATACATTGACGAACTACTGGAACGTGTGAAACGGGCGTTCATATCGTCCTACACGGATGCAATTTGTGATGTCGATTCCTTGCACCAGTTTGATTTCGATGACAAGTTTGATGCTATATTGGAGGATCTGGAGGCTCGTGATAGAGATGTATGTGTCGCTGTGGTGATGTGGTCGTGATTGATCGCGTTCGACGTCTTTTCTTATTGTATTTCTTTTCCGCTAATGGCTCACGTTCTCCTCCATGTAGGAAAAGAAGAGCAAAGGCCCACGAAAATTCGAAGACAGCAAGAAATATCAGACTACATTGGAAGGGTCCAAGATTAAACCAGGTTATCAGAAAGGTATCTACACATCATCGATTTTTATTATTCCAAAAAAAGGGCATTCATCCTCAGGCGATATTCACTTAATAGAGCCAGAACCAGTCATCGCATCAGATCTTTCAGATTCAGCTCCAGATTCACCTGATGCTGATCAAATTGCCAGGAACATAGCTAAATTACGAGCTAAAGGTATTGGGAGGAAATCAACAAGTACAAGTCCTAGCAAGACTAGTACGAATGTTTCAAAGAGTCCGAGTGCTGAAAGTGGAGAGTGAGTACCCGTGTTTTGATTGAGTGAATGAAGTAGTAGCTAGTCTCAGGGCAAGGAGTGTTATAAGGCTAGGGCATCAGCCGTTTTTTTTAGCTTACGCACTCCCCTGTTTCTTATGTTTCTTAGGAGAAAGAAGAAGCAAATGCGTGTATGGGCAGAGAACGGAACTGCAATGTCCGTAGACCCTTCTCAGGTATTGGATTACTCGGAATCTACGAATGGTGATAGTCATGAGAATGGGTCTGAAGCTGCAGAGTCGCTGGTATGGGATTTGTAGAATTCAAACAAATGAGCACGTCCCCATGTAGCCTTTCTTACCCCTCATAGGTTGATCGAAACGCCATGGGCACATACTCATCAGAAGGACTATACGAAGCAGCTGAAATGGACAACAAATACGACGATGACGACGACGATGAAGAAGATAACGAAAGCAAGGCCCCCATAACGAAACCAACCGCAAAATCATCATCAATCTTCTCCTCAACCTCCCTCTTCTCAGTCCTGTCATCCCTAACAGGTCCACGAGTCCTAAAAGAAGAGGACCTGACATCCGTCATGGCCAAAATGAAGGAACATCTCATAAATAAGAATGTGGCTGCTGACATAGCTACCGTGCTATGTACTTCAGTGTCAAAGACTATGGTAGGGCAGAAATTGGGGACGTTTAGTGGGGTGCAGAATGCTGTAAAACTGGCCATGGAAGTATCGCTGAGAAAGATATTGACGCCACGGACTAGCACTGATGTGTTGAGGGATGTCTTTGCGGCGAAGAGTGAGGGACGGCCGTATTCGTTTGTGTTTGTTGGAGTTAATGGTGTCGGGAAGGTATGTATGTGGATTATCTTGATATGGAGATTTTGAATGCTGTTTGGCATGGATTTTTTAGGCTGGATTCTGCGTTCTCAAATATTTCTGCACCCTCATCGATTACTGATTTGTCTCCTCCCTCAGAGTACGAATCTATCCAAAGTGTGTTTCTGGCTCCTCCAAAACAAACTCCGTGTCCTGATTGCTGCATGTGATACCTTCCGATCTGGAGCAGTAGAGCAATTACGAGTACACGCTCGTAATTTGCAAGCTCTGGAAAAGGGATCTACTGTTGAATTGTATGAACGAGGATATGGAAAGGATTCAGCTGGGATTGCTAAGGATGCTATTTCTTATGGTACGTGCGGTACTGTTAAGGAGATTTGAAGCTGATGATTTTTGACTTATTGAATCTGATGATTTTCCTTTTCTTTAGCCAAAGCCAATCGATTTGATGTGGTCTTGGTTGATACTGCTGGACGTATGCAAGATAATGAGCCTTTGATGCGAGCTTTGGCGAAGGTGCAGATATTGTGGATGTATGTGACATCTATTCAGGATCGCCAACTGCTTTTTTTCTGTAGCTGGTAACGACAAACAATCCAGACAAGATTGTATTCGTCGGTGAAGCACTCGTAGGAAACGAAGCCGTCGACCAACTCACCAAATTCAACCGAGCATTACGTGATTACTCTGGCCTGCAAAACCCACGACAAATTGATGGGATAATATTGACCAAATTTGATACTATTGATGACAAGGTATGTTCATTGTTCAGCAAAAATAGCGAAGAGGATCATCTTGGATTGACTTTGCGTTTCACATAGGTCGGAGCAGCACTATCAATGACCTACGTTACAGGACAGCCCATCTTGTTTGTTGGAACCGGGCAAACGTATACGGATTTGAAGAGGATGAATATGAAGAGTATTGTTGATATGTTGTTGTCGAATTTAAGTTAAGCAGAAACATGTGGCATTAAAATACTAATATATATCATTGGACACAAACATTCAGTGGATTGGTTTTGGTGCATCATTTGTTTGTTTGTGGTTTTGGTGGGTGAGAATCATGTGGGGTGGTGAGAGTTGGTGATGGACTAAACCACGTTGGTTTACTGTCTTATCTCTGAAAACTTTTTTCTTCCATATGTTCATTCAACACCACCTTCCTCTAGGAGATAATCCATCTCAAGTCTGCACCAGACACGCTTACCGCCATCATCGAATCCCAAATGCACCGCACTTGTTAACGTGTTTATGAAGTGTCGATTTGGCTCTCAACGCAGAGATCATCTTCTCTGATTTCTCTTGCTTTCTAATACTCTATCAAAGTGACTGTTATTGTGATAGTGACTGTTTGAGCAGGGAAGGAAAGGAGATAGTGACAATCTGGTATTGCATTCGATGGGGGTTGGCTTCGTTTTTGTGGCGTTGGTCGAGATTGTGAATACTGGCTCTTGACAATCTTTCAAAGCGCAATGCGCTACGTCCTGAAGGTAAGCAATGTGAGATGAATGAAACCTCAAGAGTGCCAGTTGTACATCCGTTTTTGGGTTGTCGGCGTGTCAGCTGCAAGTGATGCGATGAATTCTACTACAGTTATTCATAGTTATTAATGGCTTTCTCATCACAGTTATTCACGGCTGTGGCTAGTTATTCCTTTTTGAAAGAACGAGAACTGGACAGTGTCATCTAATCCAACCCCGCACTGAAACCACTCGTTTGGATAGATGGAATATCAAAATATCTATATTCAAGAAAATGGTCTATGAAGTGGTGGAGAATGTGAAATGTGTATTCATATCCTTGTTTCTGGATGCTGACAAGAACTGTATTCACTACACGAGTTGGATTTCGATGACGAGGTTGATACCTTATTGGGCGTGTTGGGGCGTGTGATGGAGATGTGGGGGTGGTAGTCATGTGGCCATCATCGATCGTGTATGGTTATCAAATACCATTTTTTTCATTGCCTCAATGTCTCTTTTTTCTGGATACAGAAACGAGAAAAACAAGGGCCCACGACAATTCGAAGATAGTCACAAACCAGGGTCAAAAATGTCAGAACACGTTAGAAGCCTCATAGGTCAGACCTGAGCATCAGAAAGGTAAAGTATATTCATCATGCCAACAAAAGAGTGTTTGTCACCAATCTTTTGTTCCCCAACAGAACCAGAACCAGTCATCTCATCAGAGATTCAGCATTAAATACACTTGATGCTGATCAGTAAATTGAGAGGTAAAGGTCAGATAAGGTAAAAGCACGCCATTGTATGCTGAAGGCGGAAGCAAGAAACCCAAGGTGGCCGTCACCAACAACAAGGTAGTTATGCTCATTAGCTGTAATGGCCACACGCGCTCGCCCACCGGGTCCAGATTGACCACGTTGTTTCGTATCCCGACGTTACAAGAAGGCGTGAAGGCGTGGGGATGGGAAGTGGGAAGTAGTCCCCTTGACATCGGGGAGATGGCCGTTGGTAACCCCGCATTCCAACGCTGTCAAAAGGTGTTACCGACCTATTGCTTCCTTGAACTGCTGGCGGACTCCTGGCTTCAAGTTGGGAGCGAACTGCTATGAGCTTGTTGTATGAAACATCTTTGGATCTAGGTTGTTTAGTAGGACACGACTTGAATGCTATTGCAATTTGTATTCGAATCTTGATGCAAACTGTAATCTTTGCATCGTTTTTGCATCTGTCGTAAATCTCAACTGTATCCTCGTAACAATACTGCAATTAGATCTACATGTTTGTCCTTGTAAATTTTGTGTCCTCGAACCGTTTGCACTGTTTCTCAACACTTCCGACGCAATTTCATGTACCGAGAGCAACGTCGTCGAGGCTGCTGAAATGTCCGTCTTGACACGACGATTTGAGCTAAACTACGTGTTTCTTTGTCATCCAACTTTTTCGAGCAAACAAGGACGCTACACCGAGACAATCTCCTACGTATTCCCAACCCTTTTATCCTTGATTTCTTACTTGAACGAGTAAGCTTGCCCTCTGTTTGACCCTGTTTGACTCTCATCTGCATCTACGTCGCCAGTACGTTTGTTGATGGTTTGCTTTGTAAACGTGGCTAGCTCCAATTGTTTCAGTATCTATGATGCAGATACCAACCGTTTGTTTACATAGTGACTTTCTCTGCCAAGGACATCCCTTCTATGGAGTGAGTTTGCTGTCATCAAAGATCTAAACATTGTGTTTAGGCTGTTTGCCGGAGGACAGGACGCGAGGAGCAAGCCTTGGGATCTCAGCCTGATTTTGATTTCGTTTATGTGTTGAATGATCTCATGAAATTATTGATCCTCCATGATCATTATTGTCCTCCGTGACAGGGAACAATGTGTGGTGCTCAACATGAGCGGCAGCTAATCTACTTTCTTTTGCGCCGCTAGAGGAAAAGTAGTCATAATCACTGGTGCTAATGCCGGTGTGAGTTTCTGATTTCCTCCTAGTCATTATCAGTTTCAACGAATCTAACTTTACCACACTTCAAACCACAAACAGCTTGGCTACCACACAGCCCTCGAAATAGCCCGAAAAGGAGGTCACGTCTTCATGGCTTGCCGTTCTCGAGAACGTGCTGAGAAAGCAATCGCCGAAATCAAGAAGGCCGCACCTACTGCTAATGTTGAATTCTTGGAATTGGATTTGCAGGATATTAATCAGACCAAGAAGGCTGGAGAGGCATGGTTGAAGAAGGGGCTACCCTTGCATGTGCTTGTTAACAATGCCGGCGTGAGGGCTTTCTGTGTTTGTAGGGATTGGTGGCCATTAGCTCATCCTTCTTTTGCTTTAGATTATGGCATGTCCATTTGCGTTGACCAAGGATGGCATTGAGACGCAATTTGGAACCAATCATATTGGTATTTGTGATGCTTAAGGCGCTATTGGTGCTTTGCTTTGTTTAACACACTTGACATTTCTCACAAGGCCACTTTGCCTTTACGAAAACACTCTTACCCCGTCTCATCGAATCCCAACCATCCCGTATCGTAAATGTATCATCTGTTGGCCACAATTTCGCTCCCAAAGCTGATCCCATTCCGTTGGAGAAAATCAACGAACCTACTGCTTTCAACACGTGGGAAAGATATGGAACTAGTAAATTGGCTAATATCTTGTTTACTGTTGGGTTGGATGAACGTTTAAAAGATGCGAAAGTCTATGTGAGTTTGTGTTAGTAGGTCGTTTGTTGGCGGAATTCAAGCAAACTATAGTCCTTTTGTTCGATTTTTTTGTACGCTAACGATTTTCGAAAATTTTTAGTGCAATTCATTGCATCCTGGAGGTAGGAACCGAACTTTTATCAATAACAACATTAATATGGATTCGCTGAAGTAGCTGATGTCTTTGCTTGTGTTTGTAGGCGTTTCAACTGAGTTGATCCGAGGACCTAATCAATCATATCCATGGCTTGCTCCATTGGGTGCCGTGAGTATCGTTTGGATTGAGAGAACCCGATTTGCTACAAAAAAATTGTATCGCTGATCTACACTCGATTTCTCTCACAGTTTATCAACTCATTCCTCTTGACAAAGCCTGAAGTTGGGTAAGTAACTCAAATGATACCCTACTAACATACTAGGGTTAAGATAATAGTGATTTGACCCCAAAAATAACATCTGATGAACCTCTCATTGCTGCTTAGTGCATTGACCCAACTATACTTGGCAACATCACCAGAGGTTGAATCACGAAACATCCGTGCTAAATATATGGTTCCAACTGCTCAACTCAAAGAGCCAAGTAAAGCTGCTCAGGATAAAGTGTAAGCGCATCGGTAACTCGGAAAGCAATTGTCTGGTTCACCTACTCACGTGTTTTGTTGCATAGGTTGGCTGAAAAGCTATGGGATTTTAGTGAAAAGTTCTTTGCTGAAAAGATTTCTGCTTGATTTAAAAAGTCATTTATTCTGGTACAAGTAACGCAACAACGGTCTCCTTCTTCATCGCACGATCTGAAGTTAAAGTATGCGGCAATGGTAAAACCGCACGTGGTACGTGTTCGATAACTCGGCGTTACTGGCGAGAGTGCGTTAATAGCATCGCGATTGCGATCCGCACTTTTGTGTCTCCCCGAGATCTAGGTTAGCTTTTTTCTCTTACGTGGTTCTTTGTCGCGTCAAATCAAAGGAGGAAAAGAAAAAACAGAAACTCTCCTTTTCCCGTGAATCGGATTGAACGGTTGCAACGGCACCATTGGATACTTGAGTGTAGACGGCACATGAAGCTTCTAAAACGCTGTAAACCAAAGATACCCAAGGTCAAAATGGGTATGTTTTCTGCTTTGCGTCCAAAAACGATACATCAAAACTGATTTGACATTTGTGTTGAATGTAGGCGGATTCAGTTTCGCAGATATCCCAGATATGAGTGGCAAGACTGTCCTGATTACTGGTGCTAATGTTGGAGTAAGTTCGATCTGCTACTGGTTCTTGTCATCGCTTGACATTGTGATATTGGCATCACGCCTAGTTTCAACTTGAAGTTATCGCTCACAACTCACATCTAACACCATTTCAACTTACAGTTAGGATACATAACAGCCCTGGAATGCGCACGCAAAGGCGCCACAGTAATCCTCGCCTGCCGGTCTCAAGACCGTGCTCAAGTCGCAATCGACAAGATTACAGCACTGGTTCCCAACGCTAAACTGGAATTCTTACGACTGGATTTACAAGATTTACAGCAAGTGAAGAATGCTGCTGAGACGTGGATGAGTAAAGGGGAGCCGTTGCATGTGTTGTGCAATAATGCTGGTGTGAGTGTTTTGGGAAATCAAAGATTGCGTTGAAACGGATACGTATAGCATTGAACTGTTCGCTTTCTTTACAGATCATGGCTCCTCCTTTTGGAAAGACAAAGGATGGGATTGAGACACAATGGGGAACTAATCATATTGTAGGAGGTTTTGGATGGCACGTAACATCGTATGGCTTGATTGATGACCTGCTTTTTTTGGCATTTTCAGGGACACTTTGTGCTGACACATTTCCTGTTACCACGATTGATTGAATGTCAACCTTCGAGGATTGTTAACTTGTCCAGGTGCGTTTGTTGAACTTCTTGCAAACGTTTAAAGCATAAAACACCACTAATGCTAAACATTATTGTGAATAGTTTCGGGTATGGTACACTTCCGCCACTGAGTCTTTTTGTGGCATCCAACAATTTCACAACCACCACACTAGACACAATTTCGCACCATCCGAAGGCATACCCTCCACCACCACAATCAACGACCCAGCCAAACTCGATATCTGGACACGTTACGGGATCTCGAAGCTCTCCAATATTTTGTTTACAGTCAGTCTAGCTTACAAGCTCAAAGACGAGAAGGTATATGTGAATGCATGCCATCCTGGATTTGTTGCTACCGAGCTCATGAGAGGACCAACTGCAGCATATGGTTCGATTATGGGAGTTATGAACTGGTTTTATGAGTTGGTTGTTACCGTTAAGCCTGAAACTGGTGCACTGACGCAGGTAATGAATCACTTTGACCAGAGGGGGGGGGGGGGGGGGTTGTGTGCATTTGAGAATTGTATACATGATTCACAAATGCTGATTGTTGACTCAGAGAGATGTTTTGAGAAGATGTTGATACCTTTCTAAGGTTTCCTCAGTCAGCATTTGACGTTTTTGGGTTGTCCTAGATCTACCTGGCGACGTCACCAGACGTCGAAACCAAGAACTTGCGTGGGAAGTACTTTGTGCCAACTGCGAAAATTGGTGAGCCTTCTAAACATGGTCGAAATGCAGAGTAAGTACAGCGGTTGATCAACCTGTAGGCGACAGCTTGCTGATAGTTGTTTTGTGCACGTTCTTGTAGGCTCGCCACGAAACTATGGACTCAGTCTGTTGAAGTTGCTGCTGGTGCTGGCATCGTGATTGCTTGATCTTGCTGTATCTTGCCATATGTGGTATTCTGTATCTTTTTAAGCTTAAAGATCCAACATTTTATAAACCCTCTTAAACACGTGATTTTCCGCGTATGCTTCAATGATATATTATACTCGCTGTATATTCGCGTAAGTTCACTGTCTCGCTTCAACATTCATACTTTCATGACATGTGCAGTGTTCAAAACGAGTCAACATAATTTTTTTGTGTTTTGAAGCTTTGCTTAAAATGGAGGAGGAAGCTGATGAGGTAGATTTTTACCTAGCCATAGATCCCGTCTACCGTATACTAATGCCCATCCCTTTCACTTAGTGGGAAGAAGCAGCTCCAATAACACTCGACAAACAAATTCACGAAACCCAACTCAAGACTCCCAGCAAGCCTACGCCCAATAATGCAGCTAATGACGATGACTGGATGTCAAAGGGGAATGAATCAGAGTAAATTTCACCTTTGCATCCTCTTCATTGTTGCAACAAGTGAGCTAACATTCACACATCTTGAATCCAAACACGCCAGACACACCGAACCATCTCTCGTAAACACTGGCCAACGCATCGAAGTCGTCGCGCCTCAAATGAAGATTTTAAAACGGAATCAGAATAAAGCTGGAGATATACCCGTCATGCAACGAACTGGAAGTGGAGGGGTTATGAAGACGCTTGCTGAACGGGAGGCGGAATATAATGCTGCTAGGGCACGGATTTTTGGAGGGTTGGATGGTGCTGATGGTGGTAGTACTAGTAATGGTGTTGGTAATACGAATGCAGAGGGTGGCAGAAACAAATCAACAACACCGGCAACTGGTGAGAAGATTGATTTAAACGATGCAGCGAATAGAAATAGGCCGTTACCAAAGAGTAATGGTAGAGGAGGAGGAGAGGGTTCACCTGCTATGGCTAGGATGGATCCTCGCTCACAAAGCAAGTAAAGCAAAACAAGGCTTATTTGCTAAAGTGCAGGATAGTATTATATTTTTTTTTGCATATTATAGTTTTGGGCATTTAATCCCTTGTGCATATAACTTCACAACAACACACACAACACCTTTTTGTTATATATACAAACAAGCTTATATGTTCCTCCTTTTTACAACTATGTGCTGGCTACAAACTATCATTTACGTGACTTTTTACGAGTATCAGAGGATGCTTGCTTCTTCTTGCCCCGTTTCTTTTCAACCTTTGCTTCATCTTCATCATCACTCGTTGTCTTGTTTGTTGAATCATCATCTGTATCCTCACCACCTTCTTCATGGCCTTTACCGCCTTCTTTCCCCTCAGCCAAGACCCGAATACGACCCCTCTTTTCAACCTGTTCAGCAAACAACGCCTTCTCAACCTCCTTTGCAGTAAATGGAATCCCTTTAGCATTCAGCGATTGCACCAGTTTATGGACAAATGTAATGACTCGTTTGCAATCAGCGATTGTGTATTTCAGGGGATGATTTGTGGCTGTGATGAGCTCATCGCTTAGGTATGGGACTTGGGTGCATACAGTTCCGAGAACGGCTGTCGATAAGTAGTGTCAGCTTATAGATTCACAAGGATGACGACTTGATCGCACTTGCCACAAGCAGCAACAGGTCCAATGCCTTGCAAAGAGTCTGGCTGTCCATTCTTTGAGAGTTGGTTGACGGCATCCAAGATGTCGTCCAAGTCGGGTTCATTGGCGAGGAGGGCCATGCATCGTGTTGTGGCTGCTTTGACTTTGGAGTCTGGGTTTGAATCAGCTTTGCTTTGAAGTCCTAGATAGTTTGGATGAGTAGTCAGCTCGGATAGCCAGTCGGATAGTGTCCAGCATGCAATCGTCGTGACGTGTCGATCCATCAACAACTGGCGGTAACCAACAAATGGAGATCGTACCAATGCGCCATTCACCACGCTAAAAAGAAGTAAGATCATGTTAAAAGCTTGCGTCTAGCAGCGACTAGCTCCAACATATAACACATACGGTAAGCTTCCAATGCAACAACTTGGATAGCTCTTCCTGAGTCATATGCATAGGTTCACGACTCTTGACAATATCCGGTAGTGTATTCCACAGCCATTCATCTTCTTCAATAAGGGTATCACCATTGTATGATTTGCCTTGTTTTGATCTCGATGAAACTTCGAGCTTCCTGGCTTGTAGAGCGCGTGGATATGCAGATAGGTAGAGATTCCAGGTGTCGAGTGAGCGTGATTTGATGAGATCTGGCATCGTGCCTAATGATATGAGGTGCAAGCTCGAAAAACAGCGACCAGCAGAGAACAATGATAGAAAGCAAAGAAAGGAGGCACTAATAAGCAGATACTGTCCAAGGCACTTACTACCTTTCTCCTTATAAGCTCCTCTTTCCCTTTAATCAGATGGCTGTCGACGAGTCTTTTGATTGCGTTTTGATTGGAACTGGAGTCACGGAATCTCTTGTTGCGGCGTATGTGGGAACGTGATTTTTACGGCTAGATCATGTAGATTTATCTATTTTATAATGATTTCGCTCTTTTCTTTCTAGTTCATTGTCTCGAGCTGGCAAACGGGTCCTACATTTGGACGATTGGGATGTTTATGGAAGTGAATACGCTGCTCTGAATTTACGTGCTCTACTTACGTTTCTGAATTCGGTTGATGATACTAGTACGTGCTATTGAGCCTGTATTTCATCGGCAATATTACAATTTGCGATTGAAACGATTCGCTGACCAACTTGATCTCGTTAGAAGGATCTAAACCAACCGTATCGCACTCATTCTCAAACGTCGACATACAAATCCACGTCCCACAACGTGTCTCAGAAGCCGCAAGAGAAGACGAGGAAGCATTCCACCAACAAGTCGTCGAATACTTGCAACGACATCCAGATCTCGTCAACGTAGCAGCCAAATCCCTATCCAATGAATCCACCGAAACATCAGCAATTCATGCTTACCTAACTGGCACATCAAACGAAGCCAGTACAGTCACCCTCAACAAGATATCAGTTCTTTTCGAACTGCTACAACAACATCGACAATGGAGTCTGGAGCTGACTCCCAAAGTGTTTTTGGCGAGAGGCGATATGGTAGAATTGCTGATATCGAGTGGTGCGAGTCGGTATGTGGAGTTTAAGGCGCTGGAGGGGGTTTATATGTGTTCGCCGAATGGGATTGACAGGGTAACTTGATGCATGGAAGACTTGGGCTTTTTTTGTTGGCAAAGCGTATTGACACTCGAAATTTTCACAAAGGTGCCTGGATCCAAAGAAGATGTATTCGCAGATAACTCTGTATCGCTAATCGAGAAGAGGAGGTTGATGAGGTTTATGACTTCAGCACTGACGTTTCAGGATCATCCTGATGAGACCATTGGTATGAGCACACAAATGAAGATAAATGGCAGTTTTTTTTTGTACCGCTAAACAGTCTTGAAATCTAGATTACGAAACACAACCATTCGACCAATTCTTGGAAGCTCAACAAATTGGAGCAAGGATGCGTGAAGTGATAATACATGCTCTTGCCATGTCGGATCGATCTGATAGTAAGACCTGAAAAGATTGAGTGACTTCCTAGACTATGTGCTGATTGCATCTTGATGCAGTCTCAACAGCTCAAGGTCTAGAGCTCTCAAACCGCCAAGTGCAGTCTCTTGGTCGATTTGGCAGGACTGCATATCTGTGTGCGCTTTATGGTGCTGGTGCTGAGCTATCTCAGGGCTTTTGTCGGTATGGCATACATATGTCTACCAATGTTTCAATCGATTGAGATGGTTTTTTGCTCTCGCTGTCTAGAATGTCAGCAGTATATGGAGGAACCTACATGCTCAACTATGCTCTTGAGTCCATAACACGAACATCCGAATCAAAATGGAAGGTGACTGGTGTCGATGGAACGACCTTTTCGTCACCGTGTTTGGTTGCTTCTGCTAGTCATGCGGCTTTAGTAAAGGATAGTACAGCTGAGAGGTATGTGTCCTGAATCTTTGAATCAAATTGGTTGTCTTTTATAACCTCGTTTTTTTCGTTCATAGCGAGAACATATCTCGCCTCATGCTGATTTTGGATGGGTCGGTGCACACGGATGCAAACTTGACGATTTCTGTGTTTCCACCGACTCGAGAATATGCGATATACGGGATTCAACATTCGTTTGACACGAATTCGTGTCCCCTTGGGAAGAGTGAGTTGTGTTTGCATTGCAGACTTGCTATCATGAAATCCAACGGTCTTTTTGCTTCCAAACAGACGTGCTGTATTTAATGACACGAGCATATGATGGAGCCAAAGACGAACTAATGGCAGCTGCATCGAAGCTGGCAAATCTTCATGAAGGTATCGTCGGATTATTCCGGGGGATTTTTTTTTCGCACGAGCTGAAAGGTCCATTTTTTAACAAAGCTGGAGAATCAACAAAACCAAACTGCCTCCTTTCAATCTTCTACAACCAAAGACGCATCGTTGCTCCAACGCCATCATTACTTGACTCAGCAATGTATTGTAGTACTCCCGGTGCAGGACTCGATTTAGATGATTGTGTTGAGGAAGCCAAGAGGATATTTACTATTGTGTGTGGTGAAGAAGCTGTGTTTATGCCTGCGCTGGCTAGTGAGGAGTCTGTCGAGTAGGACGTGACGCACAGGATACGTTTTTTTTGGTTTTGAAGTAATAGCATGGATCCTGCTATGTTTGTACTTTGACGTTCATATATAGCCTCATTGCCTCATTCTTCATGGATCGGTGTTGCATTTTGGAGGTTTAAGAAAGTCAATACACAAGAATTGGTATAGGTACTCTCATACCATTTTGGGACTGGGTGGATGATCGTGGTAGTCGAGTCGTGTAAAATGCCAAAAATAAGCTGTTTTTTCGCAGAAATGGCTGACCATGAATTAAAAAGATGTCCTTGTATTTCATAGAAGAGACTATATCAACTTTCTCACATTCTTTGTCCATGATGAATGTAGGTGTACGTCTCAGACAAGTGTCAAAGAGTTACTAGAGCAGACAAAAAATAATTTTGGTGCTGGTCGATGTTTATCTGCTCTGACAACCAGATCTACGGAAGATCTCCAAATCCTCATTCAATGCACCTCCTGAACCAGCAGCATCCATTCACGCATATCGTATTGGGACATAGGAGCAAGTCAGGCCAGTCACATGAAACAGGGTTTCAGTCCGTTTTGAACTGCCATAAAAGCAATCAACAATGGAACCTTTAATTGGCTGAGAATGTTAGTATGTGTACACCGCATGGGTTTGACTGATGCCTCTCCTTCACACGTGTATTATTTAATTTGGAAGGTGCGCTAGATCCGAAGAAATTTTGTTTGAAGATAACTCTGTGTCTCAATGGAATGAAAACGGGGGGTTGATGAGATTCACGACTTCAGCATTGACTGTTCAGGATCATCCTGACGAAACAATTGATGTGTAGGAAACTTTTGTCATTTTTTCATCCTGCTGACAGTCTTCCAATCTAGATTACGAAACACAACCATCCAACCAATTCCTGCAGGTTCAACAAATTGGACGAAACATGTGTAAAGTGATTATGCATGCTCTGGTCATATCGGATCGATCTGATAGGAAGAGCGAAAAAAAAACATTCAAATGCTGATACCATGTGCAGATCGCATCTTGATGTAGCCTGAGCCTACCTTGAGCTCTCGAATGGACAAGTGCAACCTCTTGGTCGATTTGGCAGGACTGCGTATCTGTGTGCTCTTTATGGAGCTGTTGCTGAGCTGCTTCAGGGCCTTTGTCCGCACAGTGTCTTCTGTCTCGTCAAAACACATTTTCGTACTATCTGATTTTTTTTTGGTTAAATTATTAGAATTTCCGCAGTGTATGGAAGAACCTGCATGCTCAGGTATTCTTCTGAATCCATAGCACGATCATCAGAATCAAAATGGAAGCTTGATGGAACGACGTTTTCATCCACTTTTTTGTTTGCTTCTACTAGTTAGGATAATATAGTTGAGAGGTATGCTTGCCGAAATGTTGAAGGATATAGGCGCTGCTGTCTTGACCTTTTTGTGCTTATAGTGAGAAAATGTCTCGCCTCATGCTGATTTTGGATGGATTTGCAAACAAAGATGCGAACTTGACCATCTCTGTGTTTCCACCGACTCGGGAATACGCGATATACAAAGATCAGCATTCGTTTGACACGAATTCGTTTCCGCTTGGGAAGAATGAGTTTAGCTTTTGAGATCGAACCGTTGCTAGCTTGTCGTTCGTTTTCATAAAGTTTGGTGTAGAAGCGTTGAATCCATATGTAAAGTACGTCAAATGTTACTTTTATTGCATAATGGTGTCTTGATATGATCTGTGACGCGTCGAAATGTCATCAAATTGTTTTCATTGTGAAAACTCACTCTCAAACATGTTTAATGGACGATTTGGTAATCAAGTATACTCACTTATCCTCAAAAACACGTAATAAACACGTCCATATTACCATTTTCATCCATTCTCAACCCACAAGCCACACTCGTAGACAATCTAAGCCTCATGTAGAATATATAAAGAGACCAAGTTTCGAGATTTGTAAAAATGCGAACATACTTTACA